TAACTGAATAACCATGACTTGATTCTTACATGACTGAATCATCTTTGTCTGAACTCTGAAACTATCTCGAGACCACTAAATAGTCGCTTCAGAATTGAAAACGTGATATTTACTGACTTACTTGACTTGATAAGGTACGACTTCAAGTTTTCAGGTAAATTTGGACTAATGGTCTGTATATCAGACCGCCACAATTAACCCGGCTGAACAACTATTATACGTCGACCTTATAGCATGAACATAGATTGTAAATCGTAAACATGAATTTATAACTCTGTACTGTATAGGGCTGCTCCAGTATCAACTAGTCCCGCAAGTACAAAGTAATTAGCTGATCTTGATCTTTGAAAATCATAACTTGAAATATCATGACTGATAAAATATCTGACATGACTGACTGGAAAGGTTGTTATTACATGAAATCATACTGCTCCGGTTTCAGCTTCAAGTCTCCATGGTATACCCGACTGAATGGCTATTATTTCAAGCCTCCATGGTAACCCGGACTATTGACTCTTATACACTAGAAACCGTTACCTTAACAATGACTTGAGAATTATAACAACCTTTAACATGAAAATTTTTGCCTTGAACATGATTTACTGATCTGACTTAAGAAATTTGAGTCTATTCCTCGAATTAAATCAAGGAATTTCTCCCTGAAGTCTGCCAATTGATTGGAAAAATGGCAGTTTACGATAGAAATATCTGAGAAACATGATTATTAATATTTGTTTAGCACAAGTGCTCATAAATCTCCTGACAAGTTGCTAACTTGACTTGAATAAATCTAGAATTGAATCTAGAGTTCTCAAATTTAATCCTTTTTAAAGGTTCTGAATCCATTCATCCACGACATGGGGATCTCCCTGCCCGGAAAATTTCTCAGCATGATAGTCGCGAAACTGTGCGATTACTGTGGCCTGAGTAAGAACCGGGTAATCGGGTTCCCTACGGGGCGGCATCTGAGCGTTGAGAAAGTTCAACATTATTGAACACATGATAATATTCTGACTGATTACTATTGC